TATATATATATATATCAGTCCTTGAATCTCATTGGCAAATTGCTACCTTAATTTCTGGTCATGTTTGTTCCAGATAGTTTCTCTTGTGACCTAGGCTTTTGCAAATTGCACTCTTGTTTGAGTAAACATATATTGTTTTATCAAATTAAATGAATAGCTGTTGTTGGATTTCTTCTGTCAACCATGCATTATGCATTATGCTTGTTATTTTATTGTCCATGAAAATGCATTTTTCGTTCGAATTTGGACGTTATGTTGATTGGTTATATTCTAAAAGGATATTTACTTGACGTAAATTGTAATTAAAGACAAAGCTTCAATCCTAATTATCTGTGTAAACAAGTTAAAATGCTCAATTAATTATTGATCTGTCATGAGCATTATCTCCGTACATAATGGCTACATCATTCTCCATTTATCAAACGCCTCTTAGTTTTATAATATTGCTCAACCTTCATTAGTTTTTTTCCCCCTGAATTGCAATTAGATTAGGGGATAAAGGAAGAAGGGGTACGAGAAAAATTGAACTCACTCTTATTGTATGGGTGACTTCCACCGGTACCATTATGGGGATGCTTCACAAGTATGTCGCTCAAACTCTTCGAAAATGTCAGTGGATACATATTTAATCCTCCAAAATTTATGCAATTTTGAAGATTTCAACACGAGTACTGCAGTATTTTAGAGAGTCCGTACAACACAGTTTACAAATAGATTTAAGTGATTCCATAGGGCACACAAGCCAGAAAACCCTACAAAATTGCATGCATGGATAGAATTCGTTGAATCAATGATGGGTTTAGCTTGCATCACTTACATTACATCTTTTGTATTATACCACGCTACTTTTGATATTACATCCTGTAAGATGATACCATATATGATGTTAATATTAGCGGAAGCCAAAAAAATTCATGGATGCCAGCTTTTCCTAGCTAGTTTTCTCTGATGTCACAGACTTTTATTAAAAAATAAATGGTAGTAGAAGAACTCATATTTGATTTGGGAAACAGTTGATAAATAAGTGCACTAGCCTAGCCCACTAGTAGTATCTTGTTCAAGCTCAATCTTTAGGAACTATTTAATATTTCTTCCTTTATAATTTGTTTGAATCTTTTCGGAATACGAGGATCAAACTAACAAATATTTGAAGTAAATTCGGATTTTTAACATAAACTTTAAATGTTTGAAATAAAATTTACATATCTAGAAACTACATAAAAATTGTAATAAATCAACAGTTAACAATTTAAAATATTTAAAGATTATTTACATAAAATATGATCAAACAATTACTTTTATCTACATCTTGTTGGACCCCTAGTGTTCTCTCTTTGTTGTTGCAAATATATCATAACTACTCTAAATAAATAAGTAACATTTTGGCTTTATGCTATTGATGCATTAGGGAACTCCCTCTCCTCCTCTAAACACGTAACACGTATGGGACAACCACTTTTTAGTCTTGAGAAAAGTGTCCATTTCTCAATGCTTTCATCAGAATCTATTACCATCCACCTGATACCCAAAAAATACATAAACATTAAACACACTTGTTAATTGTAATTGAATCTAACATAAGATAAAGATGATTAGTTTATGGTTTCAAAATTGATAAAGATAGGCCAAACCTGTAGGATGTGGTCAAACGATGGACAAAAACAAGCATCATTGCTCGAGCCAAATGCAGTCCAAGGCATGTTCTTCCTCCCATTCCAAATGCTAAAAAGCTATATGGTTTTGAATCAACCTGAATAATTCTTTATTCAGTGTTTACACCATACTATATTAGACCATAATTAATGATAAAAATGAGGTCATTGTGTTCAACTTTTCCCCCAATTCCATTGTGTTCCTTTGGTAAACTTATGTTTGATTGTAGAGAATTACTTACATCAAATCTTGAAGGAATGAATTTATTCGGATCATGGAATATCATTGCATCAAAATGTATTGATTTAGCATCCACGTTAATGTTCCATCCTTTTTTGATCGTAAATCCTAAATTCACATAGAAATTAGAGGGATGTTAATATAATTTGCAGTTAAAATATTTTTCATAATTTTGTGTATAAAAGTAAACCTTCAATTTCACAATCATGGAGTGCCATTCTTGGAAACCAAGGCACAATTGAAGCCATTCGAAGTGATTCCTTAATAACCTGTTGGCACAAAGGTTTAATTATTACTATTTCGAAATGTATTCAGTGCACTGTAAGATTAAATAAAAAAAGGGGCTAAATCGAAAATAAGCATAAATAAAAAAGTGAAATAAATAATACCTTAGATGCATATGGCATACAATTCAGGTCTTCTAGCGTGAGGTGTGCTTTGCTGGAAACCTTTTGCTGAAGGGCTTGTTGTTCAGCCTATTCCAATCAACTTTCTAATATTAGAATTTTGGCTGTGAATTACTTTCAAAACAATCAAGATATTACTTCATTTAAGTTGTCCTAGATAGTAGGTCTCACATGCTAATTAAGAAAGCGATCAAAGAAAAGGATATGATGAGAATCGAACCTTATAATTCTATCTCTAATTACTTAAAATGTTATTTGTTTTACCTGAAGTTGGTTAAGAGCATCGGGATTTTCATCCAAATACTTGATCATCCATGTAATCGCGCTAGCCGTGGTATCTTGACCTGCCCAAAAAGAAAAATATTTGAGAGTTTAACTAATAACATGATAAATAACTTATGTATAATCCAGGTATATTAAATTAAAACAAACCTGCAATAATCATGGTTAGTATATTATCTTTAATCTCCTGATTTGTTAACTGTGTGGCATTTTCTTGTTCACTCTCCTCACCATCCTTACTCAAAAGATGAGCTAGAAAATCATCAAACTTTTCTTTGGAGTTTCGTCTTTTCTCTATTATCTTGTCCAGCAACCTCATAATTCTTTTTCTGGCCTGCAATTAAATGTCTATGGGCTTTAATTGTTGAGTCCGAACTTTAATGGGCTTTCCATATTGGGCCGGTCAATTACCTGTAGGCCTTTGTAGAATCTGGTCCATGGTAGTTTTATTGGAAATGCTAGCATTGCTTCATAAATCAGCCCAACATCCTTGTGCAACGTCTCTAATTCCTCTTCTCCTTCCAAATTCATTAACATTTTGCAGATTGCTTCAAGGGTTATCTATAACACAAGAAGAAAATGCAATTATGTAAAACAAGGAAGCTCTGTGAACTATAGATTACGGGTTTGAGTCGTGGAAGACACCATTAATGTTTGCATTAGGATCGACTATCTATATCACATCTTTTATGGTGTGGCCCTTCCCCGAACCCTACATGAATGCGAGGTGTTTTGTGTATCGGGTTACCCTTTAATTAAGCGAGCTCTATGAACCAATCAGCTATCCTTAATCTAATGTAGGAGTGTCAAATGGATGGGTTGGGCAAAACTTACGCGGGTTAAATGGTTAAATTAATAAACGAGTTGAATCATAATCCCTCCCTGAATTTGCTTGGTTCAAGGTGGGTAGGTCAGTTGAACTTAATAAAGGGCCATAACTTGACCTTCCCAACTCAATATCATTTTTCATATGTTCATTTATCTTTTATAATTTATTTAATTACCAAATAAAATTGCCAAAGAAGTCTTCTTCTTCTTCTTCTTCTTCTTCTTCTTCTTCTTCTTCTTCTTCTTCTTCTTTTTTTTTTTTTAATATATCATGACATTAATTAACTAATCAAAATCGATATCTTTTTTTTTGATAAATTTTCTTATGGGTCATTGGGCTGTATTGATTGCTCAAATTAGCCAAACCCTTAGACAGGCTAAATGGGGTTATGTTCAAATGTACTTAGCAATGAAAGGGGAAGTGCACAAACCGCCGTTTTAAGGGTTAGTATATAGGGATTAACCGATACTTATTTTGTTACGAATAATTGAACTAAAATCTTAATTTCAGGATAATTTAGGACATTTATATCCCAAAATATTGAACTGAAAAAACACAAGACACATTGGCTAATTCCTAAATAATAGCTCTTTAGAGTGGCTTACTGGTGTCTTTTCTACAACAATGAATATATGTGCAATCTAATCCACCTGAATTTGGATGGGTTGAAAGAGTTATATTTAGAAGATGTAACCTAAATAGTTCACCCAACAGCTTAATTTAGGAATAGGCGGTGGATGTGTAATATATATAATACTTGTATAATCATGTATAATTAGTACTATAGTCTAAAAAAATAAACAAAATCCGGCGAACTATTTGTTCAAAGATCCCATAAAAAAAATACTAAAAGAAGTTGGAATAGACTAATAGGGAAACCAACCTTTAGAGCTTCATGGAGTATAATAACGTCGGATCTGTGTTGCCAAGTGCTAAGATTATTAACAGTCAATTCATCAAATTGTCTAACCATTGACGAAAGAGATGCAGTTGTAAACAAAGTACTAAGATGGCTTCGAATAAGTTTGTGCTGCTCATGTGAAGCACAAAGAAGGCTTTGGTCTCCCACAAGTTTTGCAATTGACTTTATGTATCTCTTTGTGAAATTCGCAGTCTCCTTACTTAGAATTTTCTTTGCTGCCTTTGTGCTTGAGATAAATACATGCGTCTGCCCAAATATATTTGTTTTGAAGCAATTCCCATAACTACAAATAAAGTACGGTCAAATCTATCTGTAACAACACTTCACTATAAGTGTCAAGTTTCAAAAAGACCAATTTCACATATTATGTTATAATATATGTTTTCTATAACGTCACTTTTACTATAGTAACAAAAAAATATTAGAATAAATAAGACTGTTATAGAGAGCTTTGATTGTACACCGATGCTCTGAAATGTTAAACTTTGTCACACTCTAATAAATCTAGACAGATACACTAACTATACACAGAGTTCGGCCTACTCCAACTATTCTTATAGCCAGTTTGGTCAAACTGGAAAAAATCAGCTTATTTTGAGAATGTTTTTTTTTTTAAAGTGCTTTTTTAAAAAAGTACTTTCGAAGAAAAACAGTTTGTGTTTGGCTAATCAATTTGAAAAATATTTTTGAACAATAATTTGTGTTTGGCCAAATTTTTCAAAAAGTACTTTTATGTGTCAAATTACAAACAAGGACATGAAGAGATTTGCTTAATAGTTAATATTATATAAGTAGATAAATAATTACAAATTTTTATTATTAAAATTAATAATTAAGTTTTTTATTTTATTTAAGTAAAATATAAAAATAAAATTGAAAAATACTTTATTCTTTCAAGATAATATAAATATATCAAAAATCATCCAACAAAAATGAAAATTCATCCCAAAAGTTATTTTATATTACTTAATAGTTTAAATTAAGTAAGGTTATTTTGGTGTATATAATATTTTGCAAAGGGTATTTTTGGTAGGAAGTAAAGTCAAAACTGCTTCTGATTCTGGAGAGAAGCTACTTTTTTCTGCTTTTTCAAAATTGCTTCTGCTTCTAGCCAAAAGCACTTTTTTTCCAACAAAAAGCTTGGCCAAACACATCAAATTGATGAAAAAGGCACTTTTTTGAAAGAAAAAAAACGCTTTTGGCCTGCTGAGAAGCTTGGCCAAACAAGCTACTCCCTCCGTTTCAATTTAGATGAGGTAGTTTAACTCGGCACGGTGTTTAAGAATAGAAAAAAAGATTTTTGAAACTTGTGGTCTTAAAAACTTAAGGGGTAAAAACTTTGTGAGGCCATGACATTTGTGTGGTTATAAAAGCTTCTCATTAAGGGTAAAATAGGTAAAATAAAGAGTTTAAAGTTGAATTATTTCTAAATTCAGAAATGTGTCATTTATTTTGGAACAGACTAAAAAAGAAAGTACCTCATCTAATTTGAAACGGAGGGAGTATTAAATTGTTAACCGGAAGCCTTTTCCAGAAAATAAATCATTTTTTGATGTTCAATTGCCAGGAAATATATAAATATTCAAACAAAAAGATAAAATAACATTCCTCAGTTTTAGGCAGAAGTCTTTTTCTTCAAAATTATCTCAATTTTTTTTTACCTTATATCATTGCTTTAACCAACAATTGGACATTATTATCAATGTTTGATACTCAAAAATTTCAACAAAATATTATCCAGTTTGATAAAGTATTATCAATCTTTACTACATGTTCTTTCAGAAAATATTTTTCACTTTCTAAAAAACCTTTTCAGAAAGTGTTTTCCAGAAAATAAGTCATTCTCTTAGAAACAATTCCCGAAAAAATGACTTCCATCATGACAAATACATCTTTAATTGATTAAAGATGTATTTTCGTTATTGCTACGAAAAATGAGAAGAATTAACCCAAATAGTTGTTAACTTAATTTCTTAAACTAAATATTGTAGGCGGATGTATTATATATACAACTATGTATAGTTAATGTATGATTTATGTATACTGGTTAGGAAAAGTAAACATTGAATTTGGCTTGCTACAAATGGTCATATAAATACCGACTTTTTTTTCCAACAAAGTCATATAACTTTATTTTCTCACAAAAATCATATAACTATGACTTTTTTTCACCAAAGTCATGTAACTATATTTTCTCACACAAAAATCAAATAACTTTTATTAATTCACACAAAAAACATTGTAATCGGTATAAATTTTCAGTAGTATTTTTTTTTTTGTATTATTATTTTTTATTTTCAGTTTGATAAATAATAATTCGCTTAAAATAGGGATGACCCAACTCGACCTGGCCCACACGACC